ATGAGCATAACTATTAGAGGCGTAGTAAGCGTTATACAAAGGCATATCAAAGCGATACAAAGCGTAACGGAAGAGATCTGAAAGGCGTAATGGCATATTTAAGAGCGATATGAAGCGTAACAGAGGAGATCTAAAAAGCGTAAGGAAGCGTGAAGGGAGCGAGAAGAACGTCGAGGGCAACTGACCTCTGTCCTCGTTTTGGCGTGCTTATATGTGCGAGGCATCGAGCCTCGCACGACTGGAATGTGGCATTTTGTTTTGTGAGAAAGTAGAGATAAGAGAATGTTTCCAGTCGCGCAAGGCTCGATGCGCCGAGATTGCAACTTAAACCGTGTTGTAGTTGCAATACTGGCGGCCGCGCGTCAGAACGAGGTTACAATTTTGACTACGACATGGCAAACACTTTAACTACGATAAAGGCATACATTTTTACTACTACAAAGGCATACATTCTAACTACGAGAAAGGCTTACATTTCAACTACGACAAGGCATTATACAATTGACTGCGTATAAAAAAGGTGGTATACCATTATATACAATACACACGTGTGCGGCAATCCTGCGTAAATCATAGCGTACGGTCCTGAAGTTGTTTTAGGATGCGCTCGATCTCATCCTTCCTTTTCTTAAGGGCTTTCCTCCTTCGAATTGCATCGTCGTAGCGTCTTTTGTTTTCTTCCGCTTTTTCCGGCCAGCTACACAGCACTGAGTGTTGGCCGGTCTCGTCGCAAAGGTAGCACTTGGTTTTCTCCTTTTTGCAGGCGTGTGGTTCATAGCGTACGCGTAAACAACATGCGCATCTGTGCTCGCCTACGACGATCTGGTTGCGGAGAGTTATGGTTCGGTACACTGTGCAGAAATCAGAGTATTGCTCTCCGACTCGTCCACAGGAGACGCATTTCATACCCCTTTCATCCTCTCTGACCATGCTTCCCATGTCGAAGTTCCTAGGCTCGTAATCAGGCTCCATGTCCACTCTGTAGACTAGGCCTCCAATTCTTCAATCTTCTCTTCAATATCCGTATGCTCCATTATCAATTCCGTCCTTCTTCTTCCGATCTCCGCTACTCGTCTCCAATCGTCGCTTTCTTCGTTCTCCATCCCTTCTTCCATGAACTCGGCGTTCTCTCGTATTCTTTTTATCTCTGGGTCGCCGCCTTCTACGCTCTCTTGGTTCGGGCGTCGTCTGCCCTCCCGGGCGCGGCGTTGTCTTTCTGCGTGTTCGTTGTCTGAAGTCTGCGTAGATTGCGTTTGCTTTTGCGGCGCGTTAGCGTGCGGCGTATGTTCGTGCGGCGTTGTTCGTATTTGTCGCGCCGTCGGTGACGTCCTCCGAGCCCTTCCGCATCGGTGGCTACTCGGTAGGGCGTCCCCGGCGGCGTGAGCTAGGTGACCGGGGTCATCTGCCCGCTCGCCATGCTCGTATTCAACTGCCACACGGAGTTGGTAGGCCTAGGGCCGCCCCAGTCTCCCTTGCAGGCTCCTACGCGATGGTACTCCCTCCGCAGTACGTCACGGGGGTTATCAGCCCAGTGCCGAGCTCCCTCGGACACTGGGCTCTCGGTCCGGCCAGAGCCTACGAGGCTACCTTCAGTGCACTAAGAGTAACTGCGATATGACCGATGTTACCGACATCCTACGTATCACCAGCACACATATATGATATACATTTTATGATATACTACGTCGATACGATATGGATTATGAATACGATTAAATGAATAAAGGCACTATGATAATACTGTGAGGAAAATACTATGGAAAAATACTATGAATAAAAAGCAAAGAAATATACACATGAATTTAACCACACTATAACCTACGGTCTGGGGTACGATCCGATCTCAAGCTCATCCCGGTCCCATCCAAGCCTTCCCACCTCCTTTTTAGCTACGCTGCATCCGGGTCCTTGATAGCAGTGGACCATCTTCCAGTTGTTACCATTCAGCTTCGATCCATGCAGCTTGTCACCACTTCAGAGATGGCATACGAGTGGTGCTGAGAGCCCATCGGGGGCTACGTGGATATTGCTGACGTTGAAGGCACAGGAGCAGTCGAGAAAGCAGCCGTCCGAGGCGTTGACACGATGGCGAATGAATGATGCAAACGCCCATAGTGGCTAGAGCCCGCTGCCATGTGGCAAACTCTAGCTCTCTGCAGCGTACGGTGCCTTCCCGGCGGGACTACGCGCGCGCCACGGCGAGGCCGGCCTTTAAGTCGTCCGAAGGGCACGACAGTATTGCTTCTTTAACCGCTGCCGCTATTTGATCGACTCGAGAGTTCTCTCGGAGCAGCATGGTTATTTCGTCATTCATATGGACAACTATTGCTGCAATATTGTCATCTACATATTGCGTCCTTGGCAGTCATTTCCAGTTTCCGTTTGTTCGCACTTTGCAATTGTCCAAAAACGTGATGACGGCTCTCTGGAAATCCTGCGTATCCTTCTTCCTCGAGTATTCTGCGGAAATCGTTTAGAAGCGATTGCTGTTCGCTTAAAATCTTGAGTTGGTCTTCAATTACCGTCTCGATTGTTGATTGCTTCATGAGAATATAATTCTCTCTGTCATCATAAAGTGGCTGTGTTATTATTACCCGCCAGTTGCTCTCTGAGATGGCTCCAGTGGCGATGAGGTGCGTAATTGCGGATTGCGTAATGCGGATAAAAATAAATTCCAGTTCTTGTTTCTCCTTGAGCGTTTCAATAATTTGAAGTTCTGCTATGCATTCCTTCCATACTTCCCCCGATCTGCGTAAATTGGCGATTCTTTCAGTTAACGTTGTCATGTTCCTCAGTGTTTCATGAAGGTACCGACAGGTTGCCACGATTTTCTTGTAAAGCTGCGTGGGCGTCGGTAGTGGAGGAATAGCGTGAAGTAGTCGTTCGTACTTGCGTTGAAGTTCCGATGTGTTCATTTTCTGAAGAAGGTGGCGATAGTTGTCAATTATTTTTTTTGTTATACTAAATATTCCTTTTTTTTACTTAGATGGTTTTTTCATGTGATAGATGCGTAGTTAACTTGGATGTGAACGACTTTTTGATTAGTTGTGCGCAGATTAAGACAGTGATGCGTATTGGTAGGCATTTGATTACGCGTATGATTAGTTTACCGATGCGCAGTCCTAGTGTTTGTATCCAAGCGTATAATACGAATAGGGCTAGAGCTACCCCGCAATTTGTCATAGCGAACATTTTATACCACGAAAAGAGTATGTCGAAAATGTGTGTGAAGTCTGGCCATGCAATCTCGTTATANGGTTCATGCGTATCATCGTGTGTGGATTTCCTACGTATTTGAGAACGCCCGATAATATGAAATATTGAGCTGGTCCTCCACACTGAATAGAACAATTCAATAATTGTCGAGCGTAATTGAAATTGAATCGTAAAGTATGTTCTTTATTGTCGGGACCGCATGGTATGACAAAAGCGTGGTGATCGCATATTATTTCTCCTAGAGTTTTCTTGCGTGATATACAATTAACTTTGGTTTCTACTCCTTTTGCGCAGCGGTAACATCCTCTTAGGCTGCTATTTTCGATGGAGCAGGGTTCTTCAGTAATCACTTCAGTGGTTTTATCGAGACTGATCGTATTTTTCAAATTAACCACGAACTCTGCTGATACCATGTTGTTAATTTTTGCTGTTATTGTGCCATTCGTTTGTCTTTTTATGCTTGCGACTGCGGTTTTCAGTGGTAGTTTGAGTTCGATGTTACTGAACTCTCTTTCAATAGCCTTCGATGGACACTGGCACGTTACTTGTGTTTCTGCGACTGTGCAGTGACAATCATCGTAAAAGGTACAATTGCCTTTTCTTGCTTCTTTTTATGTTTTGCATTCCAGTGTTGGCGTAAATGGTGTCTCCAAATCGCTGTTTCTTCTTCGGTAGTAATGAAGTAGTCGTTGAGGGTCGGCGTTAGTGGTAGATCTATCTGCATCATAGAAACGTGGAAGGAGGGTAGTTCGACTGGAACATTAGGCATGATTGGGATGACATAGCGTTTCGTTCCTCCAGAGTCGTGTAAGTCTTCTATTGTTATTTCTAATTTTACCGATTCCGTCCATCGTGTACTGCGAAAAATTTCGTAAACCTTTGTATTCGTGGGGACTGCATATACGCGATAAAACAAACAACCTGAACTCAGGTAGAAGCAGTCGCAGCCGGGTCCGCCNCTTTATTGTCGGGACCGCATGGTATGACAAAAGCGTGGTGATCGCATATTATTTCTCCTAGAGTTTTCTTGCGTGATATGCAATTAACTTTGGTTTCTGCTCCTTTTGCGCAGCGGTAACATCCTCTTAGGTTGCTAGTTTCGATGGAGCAGGGTTCTTCAGTGATCACTTCTGTGGTTTTATCGAGACTGATCGTATTTTTTAAATTATTCACGAGTTCTGCTGATACCATGCTGTTAATTTTTGCTGTTATTGTGCCATTCTTTTGTCTTTTTATGCTTGCGACTGCGGTTTTCAGTGGTAGTTTGAGTTCGATGTTACTAAACTCTCTTTCAGTATCCTTCGATGGACACTGGCACGTTACTTTTGTTTCTGCGGCTGTGCAGTGACAATCATCGTAAAAGGTACAATTGCCTGTTCTCGCTTCTTTCCATGTTTTGCATTCCAGTGTTGGCGTAAATGGCTGTCTCCAAATCGCTGTTTCTTCTTCGGCAGTAATGAAGTAGTCGTTGAGGGACGGCGTTGGTGGTAGATCTATCTGCGTCATAGAAAAGTGGAAGGAGGGTAGTTCGACTGGAACATTAGGCGTGATTGGGAAGACATGGCGTTTCGTTCCTCCAGAGTCGTGTAAGTCTTCTATTGTGATTTCTAATTTTACCGATTCCGTCCATCGTGTACAGCGAAAAATTTCGTAAACTTTGTATTCGTGGGGACTGCATATACGCGATAAAACAATCAACCTGAACTCAGGTAGAAGCAGTCGCAGCCGGGTCCACCGCATGATTCTATGCATCCGGTGCGTGCGGGGTAGGCGTTTGCTCTAGTCGGTTCCGGTTTGAGGCTTGTGCTATTGATATCCGCACATTTTCGTCCTACGCATGAGCCCATGTGGGGGCAGCGTTTGCTATCAAAGACCTTCAATTTCGTAGATCTTGTGAACAATATCGTTTCCTGGTCGCATTGAAGGTAAAGGCCTTTCCAACGGATTTTTATGTTCTTTATGAGCGTAGAGTTGCGGTTAATGCGTAGACAAGCCTCTCGTTCGAAGGTGTTAATCTTCAGGATTTCCGATAAAGCGAAGGTACAAGTTTCCTTCTCTTCTTTTTGCGTACAGAGCGTACTTCTTTGTTCCATTATATTGACATGTTGACATGCGTATGTACAACGTGGAAATTGTAGTGTTACCAGGGCCATAATTGCTAACGCTTCCACGATTCGTTCCCTTCTGGATCGTCTTCTCATTGTGCAGAATACCTTTTTAATGACCCATCTTAGGACGCGGAAGGTGAGTAATACAGCTAATTTTATCCCTTCCAGCACTATGCGTAGTGGTTTTCCAATCGTCATGGGTACGTAAAGGATGACATAAGTGAATGTCACTGTCGCATGAAGAAGTATGACTGCCACAAATATGGCGTTTACTGGCCAGCATTCTGGATTAAAAATTATTGTGGTGCACTTGGTACATGCAATGTTCTCGCAGAAATCAAGTGCGGGACACTTGATTTCTAATATTGATAGCCGATTTTGTCGGTTCCATTTTAAGGAAACTTCGTAATCATGGAGCGTTATTTCCGGTGGAAATTTTATAAGATGCGTATCTTTGGAGTCAAATGTAAGGAGTTTGCAGTGGTTATCCGCGCAAATTTCGAAAGTTGTGTTTTTTATTGCGTTGACATTGACTCCCTCCTTTGTGCGCACCATTTTTACCTCTTGTGTGCTTAATCCTAGACCAATTGTAATTAATGAAAATAACATTATATAGAAGAGGAACCACTTGCGTATTTTAGTGGGCGTCGATTGCGTAAGGTCATTGGTTATTGGTTCTTCATCCAGCTCTTTGTAATTTATTGGTTTCCGTGGTCTTAAATTGTAAGAGCTATTTTCCTTTTCGACGTTCGTTTCCTCTTTTGTTGTTTGGCCATTTGAGTTTTCTTCAATCCTTTCTTCGTCCAGCTCCAGGGGTACTATTAAGTTCACTGGTCGTTTTATTTTCCGCTTGGTCGCAGTGTCCAATTCAACTTCTCGAGCGGTTCCTTCTTGATTGAAGTCTAAGTTTGTGATTCGGGCCGTCTTCCATGCGTTTCTTGGCAGAATTGGGTCGCTCACCAGTACAACAGTCCCGATCTTCGGTACTAGCTGATTATGTCGTTGTTTTGGAATGAACATTTTCTGCTTTTCGCGTAGACTGGTCAAGTAGTGTTTTTGCCAGATATTCCGAAAGCGGTCAGTGATTTCGGAAAAGGATTCCAGGGCTTCTTGAGCGTCCTTTTTCGTCCTGAGCGCTTGAATTTTCTTGTAAGGTAGGTAATCAGGGTCGTTTTTGGGAAATAATTTTGCGTCGTCAGCGTAAATGAATGTTAAATTTAAATCCTGTTGTACAAAATCAATAGGTCGAATGGAATTGAAGTCGTGCTCTGACCCTTGGTAAGTTAATGGTCTTGAGTTGTGGCAAGACTCAATTTCCGTTAGTATTGTGCTCTAATCGTCCACTGATTTGAATAGTCGGCTTCGGAGTGATTTGTATAGCGCGTGTTTTATTGATCTGATTAATCGCTCGTAAAATCCTCCTTGCCAGGGTGCGTAAGGCGTGTTATAATACCACTCAATTTCTAGTGGCGAGGTTGTATTCAAAATATCTGCGTGGCTAGCTCCCTCGTTCAAAATTTCTGAAGCTGGGAAGAAAGTAGGTGCGTTGCCACTTGTTATGGACTTTGGTACTCCCCGTCGCGCCATAAAACGTCTCAAGGCATTCTCCAATAGCCATGCTTTTTACTAGTTCTAAATGAACCATCCTCGTCACAGTGCATGTATTAGGTGTGTGCATTAATTTCCGCCGCCGTCTTCAAAGGGACGTTGCGCGAATCATGTTAGAGGTTCACCTGTGAATCCTGTCATATTTTGTACGATAGGGTATTAGCCACCTACTT